CTTCAGATACAATTTGACCAAAAATTTAATTGAAAACAGCAGCAGGTTCAGTTTTATTATCAGTCGATAAAATGTTTCGTCCTTCTTCTAACTGAACCATAACATTTTAATGTCAGTATGTACTCTTCTGACTCTAACACTTCATTTTCTACCTCTTCAACATTAATCCTAGCAAATATTTCCTTATCAAGTGTTTTTAATGAAAGCAGCAGGTTCAGTTTTATTATCAGTCGATAAAATGTTTCGTCCTTCTTCTAACTGAACCATAACATTTTAATGTCAGTATGTACTCTTTTGACTCTAACACTTCATTTTCTACCTCTTCAACATTAATCCTAGCAAATATTTCCTCATCAAGTGTTCTTAATAAAAGCAGCAGGTTCAGTTTTATTATCAGTCGATAAAATGTTTCGTCCTTCTTCTAACTGAACCATAACATTTTAATGTTAGTATGTACTCTTCTGACTCTAACACTCCATTTTCTACCTCTTCAACATTAATCCTAGCAAATATTTCCTCATCAAGTCTTTTTAATGAAAGCAGCAGGTTCAGTTTTATTATCAGTCGATAAAATGTTTCGTCCTTCTTCTAACTGAACCATAACATTTTAATGTCAGTATGTACTCTTTTGACTCTAACACTTCATTTTCTACCTCTTCAACATTAATCCTAGCAAATATTTCCTCATCAAGTGTTTTTAATAAAAGCAGCAGGTTCAGTTCTATTATCAGTCGATAAAATGTTTCGTCCTTCTTCTAACTGAACCATAACATTTTAATGTCAGTATGTACTCTTCTGACTCTAACACTCCATTTTCTACCTCTTCAACATTAATCCTAGCAAATATTTCCTCATCAAGTCTTTTTAATGAAAGCAGCAGGTTCAGTTTTATTATCAGTCGATAAAATGTTTCGTCCTTCTTCTAACTGAACAATAACATTTTAATGTCAGTATGTACTCTTCTGACTCTAACACTCCATTTTCTACCTCTTCAACACTAATCCTAGCAAATATTTCCTCATCAAGTCTTTTTAATGAAAGCAGCAGGTTCAGTTTTATTATCAGTCGATAAAATGTTTCGTCCTTCTTCTAACTGAACAATAACATTTTAATGTCAGTATGTACTCTTCAGACTCTAACACTTCATTTTCTACCTCTTCAACATTAATCCTAGCAAATATTTCCTCATCAAGTGTTTTTAATAAAAGCAGCAGGTTCAGTTTTATTATCAGTCGATAAAATGTTTCGTCCTTCTTCTAACTGAATTATAACATTTTAATGTCAGTATGAAACTCTTCTGATTCTAACACTTCATTTTCTACCTCTTCAACATTAATCCTAGCAAATATTTCCTCATCAAGTGTTCTTAATGAAAGCAGCAGGTTCAGTTTTATTATTAGTCGATGAAATGTTTCGTCCTTCTTCTAATTGAATTATAACATTTTAATGTCAGTATGTACTCTTTTGATTCTAACACTTCATTTTCTACCTCTTCAACATTAATCCTAGCAAATATTTCCTTATCAAGTGTTCTTAATGAAAGCAGCAGGTTCAGTTCTATTATTAGTCGATGAAATGTTTCGTCCTTCTTCTAACTGAATTATAACATTTTAATGTCAGTATGAAGCTCTTCTGATTCTAACACTTCATTTTCTACCTCTTCAACATTAATCCTAGCAAATATTTCCTTATCAAGTGTTCTTAATGAAAGCAGCAGGTTCAGTTTTATTATTAGTCGATGAAATGTTTCGTCCTTCTTCTAACTGAATTATAACATTTTAATGTCAGTATGTACTCTTCTGATTCTAACACTTCATTTTCTACCTCTTCAACATTAATCCTAGCAAATATTTCCTTATCAAGTGTTCTTAATGAAAGCAGCAGGTTCAGTTCTATTATTAGTCGATGAAATGTTTCGTCCTTCTTCTAACTGAATTATAACATTTTAATGTCAGTATGAAACTCTTCTGATTCTAACACTTCATTTTCTACCTCTTCAACATTAATCCTAGCAAATATTTCCTTATCAAGTGTTCTTAATGAAAGCAGCAGGTTCAGTTTTATTATTAGTCGATGAAATGTTTCGTCCTTCTTCTAACTGAATTATAACATTTTAATGTCAGTATGAAACTCTTCTGATTCTAACACTTCATTTTCTACCTCTTCAACATTAATCCTAGCAAATATTTCCTCATCAAGTGTTCTTAATGAAAGCAGCAGGTTCAGTTTTATTATTAGTCGATAAAATGTTTCATCTTTCTTCTAACTGAATTATAACATTTTAATGTCAGTATGAAACTCTTCTGATTCTAACACTTCATTTTCTACCTCTTCAACATTAATCCTAGCAAATATTTCCTTATCAAGTGTTCTTAATGAAAGCAGCAGGTTCAGTTCTATTATAAGTCGATGAAATGTTTCATCTTTCTTCTAACTGAACCATAACATTTTAATGTCAGTATGAAGCTCTTCTGATTCTAACACTTCATTTTCTACCTCTTCAACATTAATCCTAGCAAATATTTCCTCATCAACTGTTCTTAATAAAAGCAGCCGGTTCAGTTCTATTATCAGTCGATGAAATGTTTCGTCTTTCTTCTAACTGAACCATAACATTTTGAGTGTCCGTATGAAGCTGATTTGTCTCTACAACTTCATTTTCTACCTCTTCATCGCTTATTCTAGCAAATATTTCCTTATGAAGGGTTCTTAATGAAAGCAGCAGGTTCAGTGAGAGATTTAATCAAATGACTATAATTAATCTGCGACGGTTGCTCGATTTCTAACTCAGCTAAAGAGACTCATTTACAAGCCTTGTTGCATGACCACGGTACCTTTCTCTTTTATGAGACTCACATTACCTATATTCACTGATTGGGCAGCTGGCTGTCCCTGGGGAAAGTGAGAAAGCGGAAGTATATTCTAAGCCAAAGAAAATACCTACATCAATCAATCAATCAATCAATCAATCAATCAATCAATCAATCAATCAATCAATCAATCAATCAATCAATCAATCAATCAATCAATCAATCAATCAATCAATCAATCAATCTATTAATCAATTTGAAATATGCAAACAAAGTAGTGAATGCAGAAGCCATCTTTCAGATCAAAGTCAAAACAACATGGCGAGTGTTTACGACGGAGAATGG